GACAAGTCCAGCATCGTTTCTATGGAGAGAGCAATCTGGATGTACTTCGCCGGCACGGAGTGGAGGTACTTGGAGACCGCCTCTTCTTCCTCGATGATGACACAGTGGCTCCATAGCTTGCTAATGAGCATTGGTAGGTAGAGGGAGAAGTCCTCCACTGACTCACCATTCTTGAACTTGAGGTTGGCGTACTCCTGCTTCAGCAGCTGGGCTGTCGCCTTCCTTGCGCAATCAGAACTGACGCGCATCGCCGTAATGGCCTCCCACGCCTCCTTAGCCGAGCTCTTCACCCCCAATGGCTCCCTGTACTCCACTGGCACAACAGTGAGGATGGCTTCCAACGCTGACATGTCATCTTCTTCGTTGTCGGTGCCTTTTTCAATGGCATTCCAGAGCCGTCGGGCTCTGAGCTTGACCTTCATGGTCACCGCCCACTTGCCATAGTTGGTGCGAGTCAGCCTCGACCAACAGGTGCCGCTGATCTCCCGCACCATGCGTACGACAACCTCCTGTCGTAGCTGGGCAGCCACAGCAGCGCCGTTGTTGTCGCCCATCTCCGAACCATACATCATCACCAGCGGTTAGTCCGGTGATGGCGCTTGTATAGCTTTGATACCACTTGTTGGCCCCTTGGTTGCCCTACACAGGTAAGCAGTAAGCTTGCTAGCACACTCACTCACTATGGCTAGAGGTAGAAGAAGATATTGAGAACAGCTCACACGCACACACAGCACAAGCCCAACGCTGGCCGAAAGCTCTGCTTCTGGATGTGGCAAAACTAAACTGATTTGCTGTATTGCCTTTGAATAGAATATATATAACTCTAGCTGTACCTCTACCAGGTGCATAGTTGTTGGTGAGTACGCCAACTAGCTACTACCAGAGTACAAGAGTACACCAACTACCTACTCCTAAGGTACAATGGTACACCAACTATCTACTTCTAAGGTACAAAGTTTAGCTCAGCCATCTCTACACTACAAGGCTGAAGTAAGCCATTTCTACCTACTGCCTCACTGCTGCTTGCAACAGCAGTGAGTGGTCAGCCCGACCGACCAGTTACATGTCCTAAACCAGGAGAGGATAGATGTGTCGACCAGTCAAGAGAGATAGGAGCAGCAGATTATGTCTAACAGATCCGAGTATGGGTAAACAATTCGGTTCCTTTCACCAGTGATGATTTCTAGCACTATAATGCCAAAACTAAATACATCTGATTTCATCGAGAATACTCCATTTATCTTATACTCCGGAGCTATATAACCGCTGTAGACAACCATGCACAGTAGAAGTTATCAGTATTACCCGATTAAATCTCAGTATTAGACGGATAAACTATAGTGCGTCATGATCTTAGTGTGTTAGTTGCTTTACCATGTGCCAGCCAAAGGAAGCGCTGTGGGAACGGCGCTCTCTGGATGCGCCGGCCAAAGGCCCGTGGTCCCAGGCCATCCGGGCTGGGACTCCGGTTGTTGGGTTGGTGACCACGCCTGGGGTGTGTCTCACCGATCCCCTCGATGGTCTGGCCGGAGCTCGTGTCGTCTGCTCTCACCGTCGCCTGATGGATGTCATCATCATGCCAGGCCCAACGCCGGTTGCTGATGATGCTGCGAGCATCTTGGTTTGGCCCGTGGTGTTCACGCACAGGCGGTCAGTGTGGAGCGGGTGCCGGGTCAGGCTGTGGCACAGCTGCGCCCTCCTGTGCCGCGCTCGACGTCTGTAGCGGTGAGCGGATGGAGCGATTCGTCTGGTACGTCCCCACTCCCCTGGTGGGGAGAGAGGCCGTGAGTCGGTGTCGCGATGCAGAGCTCTCTGCCTGTTAAACGGCGGCGGTTTCCACCAGTGCCCGGAGGTTCCGGTGGATCGCCTGTTCCTGGGGGTTGTCCAGCTCGGGAAGGCCACGCAGAAGCATCGCCGCCACGGCGATGTTTTGGCTAGCCTGAGTGAACTGTGGGGGGTCGTTCCCCCCGTCCATGATGTTGCGCTGGACCTGGCGAGCGTGACCCCGGGTGCCGCTCGCCAGGTTACGCGCACGGGGCGCATCGTGGTACGCCGAGCACGCCGGCGTAGGTGGTGGCTGGTTCTACCACCTTTGTCGTAGCTCCTCACCGTGCGCCTGATCACATGCGAGGGCATCCACGCAAGGGTCCAGAGGGGTGTGGGTCTGAAGAGACTCCACTACCACCGGCGGCTGTCCCGGGGTGTCCGCCATAGCGCACTTTCAGGACAGAGGGTGGCTAGTGCATCGACGTCGCCGATGCTGGAGCCGTCGCTCTCAACATCGTCATCCATGAGGTCATAGAACCAGGTGGGAGCGTGGCTCGCCATCCCCATGAATTCAAATGTGAGAGGGGGCGGCGCCAGCATCCTTCGGAGCCCCCGGGCTTACGCGTCCGCGAGGGACGCGAGGCCATAGGGGAACCGGTCGCTTCGGAGAATCGGCAAAAGATAGTAAATAGCGAGTAAATAACAAAGCATACATTACTCATAGCGGGGTTTGAGAAGAGCGTATGCTCAGAACGAAGCGCAGGTGCCTCGCCGTTGAAGTCGTCGGGTGTCCCGGAGATGATGGAGGGCGCCCCTCCGACGGGCGTCGGAACAAGTGCCTCGTCACGGAGGTGTAGTACGCCGAGCCGGTAGGCGACGAAGTCCAGGCTTTCAAAGAGGAAGGCCTGGGACGGCTCGAAGATGGGTGGAACCCACATCCCAACAGGTGGGAGTGCGGGAAACTCCAGCGAACCAAAACGAGTCGTATCGCTTGAGTCCGCCATGGCAAAGATGGCGGAAAAGTGGGCCACCCGATGACCAAAAAGCGTGAACGTACAGCATCTTCCCCACGAACGGCGCCAACTGTCGGTGCAGAAAGTGACCAACACGTAAATATTTGTAGTTTTGCCGTACGTTGTGATCGGATGTGGCCTAGCACTCAATGACACAGGGTTTATACTGGTTCAGGCAACGTGCCCTACGTCCAGTTTGAGTCGGTCGATGACTTTATTCCTGAGCCCAGGTGCTCAAAGTTTGTTGTGGGGTTATAAACGGAAGAGAGTAAGATGGAGGATGCAAGAGGTCCGATCGAACTCTGGTCTGAAGGGCCGAGAGTGATGGGAGCTCCGCTATGTGCTAAGTGTTCGAACGTCTGTTGTTCGTTGGGATCCTTGGTCATTCGGATCGTGTGTGTGTTGTTTGAGTTGTGAACTGATGGATCCTGGAGTTGATCGATCGTCGTTTATTGGGAGAGTGCATCCCCTTTTATAGATGAAGGGGCGGCCTTACAAGTTAGAGAGAGAGAGAGTACATATGTTGGTAAGTCTTGTTGCCCACGCCGTCGGATATAAGATGATTGTAGGTGCCCATAACACTGTTAATGTCAGATGCATGTGGGAGGTTGCGTTGTCTTCTTCTGGTATGGCAAATGTCGGTGCCTGCCATACTGTTGATGCCTAGAGGCACGTAGGGGGTTTACCGTGTTCGCCCGGTATGGGAGTTTGAGGGCGCCCACGACACTGTAGGGCAAATATCGGCGCCCACAACACTGCTTGGGTTCTAACATGTCTGGACGGTTGCAGGGCACCCTTCTGACATGTCCTGTCGGTACTGTCCTGCAGGTGTACAGGGCACCGTCCTTGATATTGCTGTTGACTTTGTGCGTCCTACCTTACTTGCTCTGCCCGTTCCCTGGGTCCTTACCGAGCGGGCGTCCCCGGTCGGTTGGTCCCAGTCCGCTACGACTGTGCCAATCGTAGAAGAGATGTAAGCAGAGGTTCGGTGCATCCCCGGTCGGAGAAGCGGGTCGGAGTCGGAAGCAAGCGACGCTCCTTGGCCAGGCCTTCTGGTCGGAGAGGCGGGCCAGAGTCGGAAGCGAAGCCTTCCGTTGGAGAGGTGGGCCGGAGTGGAAGCGAGGCCTTCCAATCGGAGAGGCGGGCTAGTGTCGGAAGTGGGCGCCGTTCCTTCTTGGCTAGGCCTTCCGGTCAAAGATTGGATCGCCCTTCTGGCCCGTTGTTAGGTTTTTGGGCCGGCCCAGAGAGTTGCGCGTCGTTCGCAACGTCGTCTGCTGGGCCGAGCTTTTGCTGGGAAGCAAGTCCATGAGGGACCCCGGGTTTATGAACCCTACACACACCTTTGTTGAACATATAAGATTTAAATAACTCCAAACTGGTTTCATATTTTTTCTTAGCCAAAACAATTTTTATAAGGTTAAAGTAGATTTTAGGGTTTTAATTGCTTAAAAAATTCAAAGAAAATATATGTATAATTTCCAAAATAGTTATTTGTATAGCTTTGTCTTTTTTATATAAAGTCCATTTTTGAGTTTTCACCATGAACTATCGACATGTTCTAATTTACCCTCTTTGCAGTTGACGCGATTCTATATAAGGCAGCTAACATGATATCTCATAGGCATTGGCGAACACAAGGGGGGCGGAGGGGTCCCAGCTTTACTACCTTTTTTATTACAACCCTTTTTTATCACAATCCTTTCCTCTTATGCCAAATACCCAATTTGGCCAACCATGCAGCCACACCGCTGCCGCCGCAACCGGCCCTGTTCGGCTGGCTAAAAAAACGACTGATGCTGATGCTGATGCTGATTTGTTGTGAGAGAAAAACACTATTATTTTGCTGAAACGGTATGCCGATGAGTTCAAGCGAAGAGGGCCACCACTTCTCATCTTATCACCTCTGGACCATCACCCTGTCCAGCCACCTCCTCCGTGCTAATTTAACTTCAAAGGCGGCAATGAAGGGATAAGTTCAATGCGATCAGAGGTCTTTGACCAGCTCATTCACTTTGCTTTACAAATAGGAGTACTTCTACTACAATCTCTAGTTTATTCTTGGCATTAGAACCAATTATAGCTATTTCCCCCTCACTATCCAGTTGTATAAGTAAACAATAGTTCGCAGAACTCTATACTCCACAATCCTATGCTTGTCGTAATAGAAACACACAGAAGATAGCACCAATGCCACTTTGCGCTAGGAGACTTAGCCTACTGTTACCTGCCCTCGAACAAGGAGGTGGTCATGCTATCCGCAACACTACAGTCTAGCTTGCTTGTGGATGGGTTTTCTGTAGCAGCTCTTCTCGCAGCGAAGCCAGGCTGCTTGGGAGTTTGCAGTGAGGAGTTTTCGGCGCTGGCCAACATCTGGAGCACCTGGGACATCAAAGGGCGATCCTCAGGTTTCTCCTGCACACATAGGAGACCCAGCTTGAGGCATTTGAGCACTTCGTCCGAGTTAAAAGAGCCATTCAGATTTTCGTCGACTAAGTCAAGGCTGTTCCCCTCGTTCCATAAACTCCAGGCAGTAAAGTAAAACAAAATGGGAAATGTTTGCAAAATTAGTGATAAGTTAAAACAATGGGCATTGCTAGTGTAGATCGACTTGATGTTTGGATGGATGCTCACATGCTCAAGAAGGCTGAGATGATCTGAGTACGGGTAAACAATTCGGTTCCTTTCACCAGTGATGATTTCTAGCACTACAACGCCAAAACTAAATACATCTGATTTCATCGAGAATACTCCATTTATCTGATACTCCGGAGCTATATAACCGCTGTAGACAGCCATGCACAGTAGAAGTTATCAGTATTACCGTATTAAATCTCACAGTATTAGACGGATAAACTATAGTGCGCCAAGCTCTAAGTGTGTTAGCTGCTTTACCGTGTGCCAGCCAATCTACCAGTATTGATTTCTGTGTCTTCGCTGCCAAACATTCTTGCCAACCCGAAGTCTGAAATTTTAGGAGTCATATCCTTATCCAGAAGAATATTTTCTGGCTTCAGGTCTCTGTGGATGATTCTATACCTCGAGTCTTGCTGAAGATACAGTAAACCTCGGGCGATTCCTTCAATTATATGATATCGTGTTTGCCAGTCAAGTAGCATGCTCTTGGTTCTGTCTGTTAAGTGGTAAGTTATAAGATACATAGATTCCCATTTATTCCTCGAAATATCTGGAATTTTATTGCTACAAAAGGTTAAGTACATACCAAACAGAAAGTAGTCCAAGCTTTTATTTGCCATGTATTCGTATATAAGCATCTTTTCTTCTCCAGAAATGCCGCACCCAATCAGCCGAACAAGATTCCGATGCTGAAGCTTAGCTATCAACATGACCTCATTCTTGAATTCATCAAGACCTTGTTTTGATTTTTTTGAAAGAGTTTTAACTGCTATTTCTTGTCCATCCTCAAGCTTTCCCTGTCGTTATAAAGTCAATATTTTTCAATTAGGCCAGTGATAATAGTTCTCTATATTTCAAAATGCTACCAGCATTCATATTTTTGGTTTACTGAGACTACTAGTAACTGTTAGGAATAGGCAACTCAAAATGTTACAAGCATTCATATCTTACAGTAGCATCTTCCATATTTCATTTCATGAAAGAACATGCTATATATGTATTTGGGAATGATTGAAGGTGTGGTAGTTGTGATGTTAAATTTAGTCAGAGACTCAGCTGATGCAACTCTGAATCGTTTTTGAACTCCTAGGATGTACTACTACTTTACAATCATATAGGTTGAAACTGATACCTTGTATACAGGTCCAAAGCCACCTTCGCCGAGCTTGTTGTTTGTGGAGAAACTGTCTGTGGCTGCTGCTATTGTCTCCACATCATATATTGGCAGTTCCAGATCAACCTCCTGACCATTTCCTTCATATATATTGTGCAAAGTCATAATGTTATGAACAAACAAAGTGTCTATTGATTTTAGGATTCTGTATACTTTTATATCTATTGAAGTAACTACTTGCAGTGACTGTGATTTACCTCTCTTTCCTCTCCAAATGAAGAACCCTCCGAGTGATAGAAGAATTGACACTGCAGTTATGCTGACAATAATTGCAACTTTAATACGTTCGTCCTTCTTCTTCCTCACTTTGCTTGGTGAACCTGGCGAACAAATTACATCTGATAAGTTTGATCATGGACTTGGTTGTACTTACAATGTTCACATGTTGTTATTATCAAGGTATTGATATAAGCAGCAGTATTCCAGGAGCCGCAGGTAGTACTGTGGCTGTTAAGCATTAACGGAGCTGCCGACTGTATGGTATCACCAATAGAAGGTAACTATGTGCTGGTACCCTTAAACAATGAACTGTCTCATGTTGATTTTTTCACTTCTGAATATGGACATTCAAGAATAAAATAGGTGAGTGGATCTAATAAACTAAGGTTAGTCTATTTTGTTGGGTAGTACATTTTGGGTAGGTCTTTTATACTACTCCTTCGTCCCAAATTATAAGACGTTTTGGTATTTCTATATAGTCAAGACTCTAGATACATAGTAAAATCAATGGATTAAAAAAACCCAAAACATCTTATAATTTAGAATGGAGGGAGTACATGATAAAGAAATTATGGATGGATATAGAATACAGTTTATAATTTTTCACAGAGATGAATGCTCATCACTTGTTGATGGAAGACACTTCCAAACCTTTGCTTGTGTCATGAACCAGTTGGTGCTTGTCCTACCATACCACTCACCAAGATCTTATAAATTTGCGCACACAACATACAGCACAGAGGATGCATGCCTAGCCTAGATCCCTGGACCATGGCACTATGGATCTTGGATGTATCACATACAAGCAAAAGTTGTACCTATGGAATATGGGTTCTTGAAGGATGATGTTTGTCAGTATTGGCATCTCTTAATCCAACGTATGTCCCCGAACTGAAATTTCTGCATGATTCTTTGCAATCATCGATCCAATTTCAACATTTTAGTGAGTTTGTTCCCAGTTTGAGAAGGGCTGATTCGTACACATCACATTGTGGACTTGAGTTTTGAGTAGTTCAGTGTGGACTCTGGACTGCTCATCATGGTCATTGAGTGGAATTTTGCGACGTACCCGGATCGGCTGCGGCGAGGCGGACGTAGAGGTCCCGGCCGTAGTCTGGATGCACGCGGAGGTCGGCGAGTCCGCCAGTCCACATGATGCAACCGCGCCGGGCCCGCCGCTCGCGTTCACGCCGGCATACGCCGTGCAGGAGCAGTTCCCCAGGCACCTCTGCCGGCACTCCTCGATGCTGGCGCCCAAGTCCACCACGGCGGTGGCCGCGTCTGGTGCGTTGGCGTACGGCACCACGGCGAACCCGTCGGTGCCGTTGGGGCAGCCAAGCGGCGCCTTCCACCAGCACCCGTCCACGCCATCCCTCGCCGCCGTCGTCTGCGGCGTGAACCCGGGGAGGCACGAGCACAGCAGCGGGCTGCTGGTGTCGCACACGGCGTTGACGCCGCACCGCGACACCGTGTCGCACTGGTCCCAATCGCTCCACCCACGTCCACCGCTGCAGCAGCCCGCCGCTGCCGCCTGTGCTGTTCAGGACCAGCCGCGACACCATGCTCGAGTTGCGCGCCTCGTCGGTCACCACCGAGGTGTTACCGCCGACGAAGCTGAAATTGCCGGCGGCGGTGTCCAGGAGGAGGACGTCCGTGAAGCGCACCCCGTCCCAGGGGCCGGAGCGCCAGATCCTGGTGGAGTTGTTCCAGATGGAAACCTCTGGGACGCCGGACGCGTCCATTGACAGTTTGATCGGGCTCGAGGACGGGTCGGACGGGCTCTTCCACGCCACCAGCGCCAAGGTCCTGCCGGTGGCAACGTCCAGCCCGAGGCTCATCCCCGGGAGCAGCGTGTCAGAGGGGTGGTCGAACCCCTGCCACAGCACGCTTCTTTGCGCGTCCAAGAGCACCAGGTTGCCGTTGTCCAGGATCCTCGCCGTGCCAGCATTCCCCGCACTTCCGGGGACGTTCCACATAACGGCGGTGACGGCGTCTGTCAGGAGGAGCAGGTAGATATCGTAGCCCACCCAGAGGCTGGCCTCGGCGTTATCCTCCACCCTGCCATCGAGGGGCGCGTCGGGGTTGGCGACCCACACAACGGTGCGGGGCGCCACCCGTGCGTACCAGACGCCGAGATAGGTTTGGCGAGAACCGGGCGGGGTGAAGAAGCCGAACACGAAGTTGCCGGAGCCGGCCGAGACGAGCGTCTCGTTGCCCATGAGCGGGCGGCGCGACGTGATGGTGTCCCTGTCCCTGGCGCTGGAAGCCACGGGGAGCAACAGAAGCATGACCAAGTGGCAGAGACGGCGGTGTTGGTGGCTAGCACTAGCTGCAGATATTGCGGCAAGTGAAAGAAGCAAAGCTACCTCCTGGCAGCTAGCACGACGGCACATGGCCCCGTCTTCTACTCGGCTGTATGGGCTGGTCAAGAGTCAACCAGTCGCCCACGTACGTGGTACGTCGCACCCCCGACCGGACTCGGTGGCCTGTGGCCGTGTGGGGTATACCCGCATCATAATTCTGTGTTTTTTATTTACGCAAAAAACTGTGGAGGAGATCCCACAATAAAATTTGATTTAAAATAAACTTTAAAGGGGTTAGGGATAAAACCGGAATTAATTGAAAGCATCAAACCATAAGCAAGGATGACCTAAGATCACTACTAAATCTAAGCGATTGAAGGTAACACTGATTTTTAAAGGACGGACGATCCTTCAAAGTTTGCGAGAGGTGTCATCTAGGTCCCTCTACTTTTAAAATATCAATTCTGGGTCTATGAACTTGGCTTCAGGTTGTCATCTAAGTCCAAATGGGTTCGAACCCGCTCTAGATACTGATGTGGCGCGCTGGCGTGGCTCCTACATGTGGGGCCCACATGTTAGTTGGTTATATTTCTGTTTATTTTTATTTTTTGCTGATGTGGCACACTGACTTTTTCAAAAAATAATTCATAACTTTTTCATCTGAGTTTGGATTAAGACAAACTTTATATCAAAATTGTAGCCCTCGATATGATCTACAACTTTGTAGTTGAAAAGTTTTTTAATTGAAACTGTTTAGGGTCCCAAAACATTGTTGTAATTGCGCAGATTTTGAAATTTAAAATTCAAAATTATCTAACAATCTCGGATGTTAACATGGTGTATATGAAATTTATAGTTCTCAATAAGATCTAAAAATTTGTAGTTGAAAAGTTTTTTATTTGAAGCTGTTTAGTGTCCCAAATATGTGTTCTAAGTTTATAGATTTTGAAATAAGAAACTTAGAAGTTAGAACAAATATTTGGGATCCTAAACAAATATTTGGGACACTAAACGAGTTCAAATAAAAAACTTTTCAACTACAAAGTTGTAGATGGTATTGAGAACTATAACTTTCATATACACCATGTCAGCATCCAAGATTTTTTGATAATTTTAAATTTCAAATTTTAAAATATGTAAACTAGCAATAATATTTTAGGACCCTAAACAGTTTCAATTCAAAAACAATTCAACTACAAAGTTGTAAATCCTATCGAGGGCTATAATTTTGATATAAAGTTTATCTTCATCCGAGCTCATATGAAAAGGTTATGAATTATTTTTTGAAAAAAGTCAGTGTGCCACATCAGCAGAATAATAAAAATAAACAGAAATATAACCAACTGACATGTGGACCCCACATATAAGAGCCACGCCAGCGCGCCACGTCAACATCCAAAGCGGGTTTGGACCCGTTTGGATCTAGATGACACCCGAAGTCAAGTTCATGGGCCTATAATTGACATTTTAAAAGTAGAGTGACCTAGATGACACATTTTGCCAAATTAAATGACCGTCCATGAATTTTTCCTCTTTTTAAAGTTTGCAAGCCATAAACTATACGTAGGGTACTACTGTCGGAAAACCTTACCATTCCACATCTTCTAGATCTCCCAAGCTGCTATGAGTTGCTTCTGTGAAGAAGTCCAGGGCATGCGCCGATCTAGCACTTGCAAAACTTCATATTTCTGTGTTACCATGTGTAAATAAAGCATATACTCACTCCGTAAAAAAACATGTAGTGAGCACTATTTGCCTAAACAACCATTTAATCTGTTTACACACCATTTAAATGCCACACAATAGTATGTCGTTATTGTTTAATTGACCATTTATCTCTTTTAAATGATCGTTTTGTCCGTTTTAGTGGTCGTTTAGCCTGGATGATGGGTAAACGACAAGTGTCTTTACATTTAGCGTTTAGGATAAAACTGCTAGTGAGTGATAACCCTCTAATGATCCACTAGAGCCGAAGCAACCAGAGTACCCTAGGACCATGCCACATCTTGGGATAACCCTCATCAGAGTAGCCCCATTGACACTACTCTAAACTCTTCTAATTACTTAGCTAAGGCTACATCCATGTAGCTCTCGTGATTGTAGTGTTGTCCTGGGTGATTGCTCCATGAATTGGCTCTAGAGAAAGACTTGGGCATGCCCAACACTAACCACTAACCAGTAAATCTTACAATAAACACCATCTCCTAAAAGACCAACATTTTACCACGGTTCTATAGTCGTTAAGTATCATCATGTGCCATTGATATTAAAGTATAACTGATAAGCATTGCTACTTGTTATTGATATTAAAGTATAGCAGCTAAGCATTGCTACTTGTTATATATCCCAGGTAACAAGTAATATATGAGCATTGGTATATTTTTCTATAAAATTGATCAAAATTATATAAAAAAAGTTCGTCTTAGAATAAAACAAAGTGAACTATATAATTTGGAACATGAGGATGTACCATTCCAAAACTTTGGCCAATTTAGGTCTATATCCTACGTACCTTTATAAGTTATTAATTTTTTTCTAACTTTAATAAAGTTTATAGTAAAATATATTAAACTGCATTACCAAATAAATCAATGTTTAACCATATATTCTATGGTGGGTTTAACAAGAATATACAATATTTGGCCTGTTCGCATGGTCGTATTTGGTTTATAAGCTATGACTTATCAACCAACGAATAATATTTTTCTATACTTTCAGTTATAGTTTATAAGTCAAATCAGTCCAAACCGGACGATTATATACTAAGTATGTGTATATCTGTGCATGCGAAGTCGTGCACCCTCACGAGTCACGTCGCTGGACGTAAAGCCGTCACCGTGACGACCTCACCGGCTTCACGCTCGCCGCGTCGGTCCAGACCAAACTACTCGCCTCCTTTTCTTTATTTTCACACCTGGGATCAGCATGGCTCGATGGATGGCGCGGCCGGTGACATGCGGGACCGGGAGGCGTTCACCCCACCTGTCACTGAGAGGTGCTGCGTCTGGGTCGGTGGCGTGCGTTGTCGCGAAAAGCCGTCGTAAGTGCATGCTGAGTCTGTTTTTATTTGGGTCTTGTTTACATCGTAAATTTTTGCAATCTGACACTGTAGCACGTTTCGTTTGTATTTGATAAACTTTGTCGGATCATGGATTAACTAGGCTCAAAAGATTCGTCTCATGATTTACAACCAAATTGTGTAATTAGTTATTTTTTTACCTACATTTAATGTTCCATACATGCGTTCAAAAATTGATGTGATGAAAAAAGAGAGTAAAAAAACTTAGAATTTTAAGGCAATTTAAACAAGGCCTTAGTTCGCCGATAGCCAATTATTGCTCCAATAGTCCAATCCACCCAAGCTCCAGCCATTAGCCACAAGTCCAATGTTTGCTTTATTAAGGGCATGTACAACGAGTCTTTTTGACTCGTCTGCGTACGATTTTGTTTTGCGAAAAGACCCCTCGTGAGGTGGAAGTGAGCCGAGCTTGTCGTCTTGCCAGGTGCATGAGTTCAACTGCTCGATGGAATACCAGTGAGGCCACATGGCTCCGGCTCCGGCCTACAATTTCACTGTTCATTCACTGTAGTAGAGCCAGTTTTCTCTACGTGCAGTGATTGTCAGACGGAGCCAGAGCTGACTGAAGCCATGCCAAACAGGTTCTTAGAATATATTTTTTTGTAAAGAGGAACTCTGGTACCAAGGCTAACATATTTTTGTAAAGGTAGTCATACTTTTTCTATACAGACAAACAAACTCGTTCTAATCTGAACTCGTCTCGGCAAGAACATGTAATCAAACACAATCACCCGTACCATTTGGTCCAGACTCTAGCTGGCCAAAGCCAGGACAGCTGGCCAGGCCGGCCAGATCCAGGAAATCAAACATGCCCATGAAGTCTGGTATCTCGATCCAATTCAAGCTACCATCCCGCTCGATCATGTGCTCCTAGGGCGTGTTTAATTTCTGGCACGGAGGCCTAGCCATGCCCGTGGGCACGGGGAAAATGGTACGGATGTTTTCCGACCGTATTCGAGACCGAATCTGTTTAGTGGAGTTCAGATCTGTCCGTATTTGAGTCCGGATATTCAACATCCAATACCGTATCCGTATCCGAATAATCAAATCGCATATTTGTGATGTCGATATCTAATCATATCCTATCCGTCAAGGTTGACAATATCCGTATTCGAATCCGAATTCGGACAGAAATATGAAAACAAATGTAATATCAGTTATATCCGTTCGTATCCGATCCGCTTTCATCCATACCCGTGGGCTACCATTGCTCGTGTTTGATTGCTTGGGCCCCACCACTAAGCCCAGGCCGCCTCTCACCACCGGCCAGGAAACAAAATCCAGGTTCGTTTCTTGGCAGCTCGGCTGGCTTCAGCGCGTAAGAGCAACCACAATGTATATGGGCTAAGTAGTCCATATGGGTAGCTTTTGTGTCAGTGGACTATAGCTATTGTTGTCTCTACAATGTTTCAGCCAACAGGTAGTCCATAAGGTGGGTCCCATATGAGATAAAAAAATTATCTCTTTATGTGATAAAAAATTCTCTCTTTACAATCCTGTGCAAAATCAAGAAAGAGAGAGGGAGGAGTGAGAAAAAGTAATATTTTTTATTTCTTATGGGTAGTCCATAAGCTTATGGGTACCTTTTACTATGGACTACCATATGGACTGGTCTCACAATGTTCCAGCTACCTGATAGCAAATATTTTAATCCTATGAACTACCTTATGGCAAACATTGTGGTTGCTCTAAGCGCAGGCTTGAGTCACCTCCCAGCTATTTCTGACTTCTCACCTCCCGCAACCGCACACCTGGTCTCCGTCCGCATGCAGTCGCGCTCGTCGCAGATGCCAAGGCCGCCGCTGCAACCCTATTGCCATGGCCGCCAATGCCAAGCTGGTGCAAGCGCGCGTTCCGCCGCTGCCATTGCGACCCCCATCGCCATGGCCGCGCCTTTGACCGCCGTCACCGCCGCCGTGTTGCCATGGCCACGGCCACCTGCTACTAGCGCTACTTGTGTTGGCCACCATGGTGGCAACGGTGTCAGTGGCGGGCGACCCTAGGTGCATGG